CGGCTGGGTAGCCCCCCACGTGTGGGGAAGAGCGAGCTGCCGCCCTCACGCGCCGCTGGCCACCGCTGCACCATTGCAGCCTCTTGCGCCGTTGCCGAGCCCGAGAACAGCCAGCGGGCTACGCATTTGGACGCACCGCTGCAGGGGGCTTGCTAGCCTCAGAAAGTGCCCAGCCGCGACAGGCACGCTGCCCAGAGCACTTTGTGCAGGCAGCGTATAATGTGCACGCTCGTGGCACCCCGCTCGCCTACAGCACCGCCTCCTGCACTGTTGCAAGATAATGTACAATTGCTCTCTGGCACAAAGCCTCGTGGCACGTGCACAGTAACAACTGGACTAAGAAGAGGAGTTAGGAATGTTTCCTTGTCCAAAAAAAAAGGGAAAAAAAGTAGCAGCCGCCCCAACTCCTCTCCCCCCATTGCCACCTGCCTCACTGTGGGCTGTATTCCTTAAAGACAGAGGCAAGGTGCGTGACGTAGTATCCTGTAATGGACCAACTTCTGGTGATAAGAAAGTCCAGAGCTCTCTTCAGCCTTATCCCAAATCTCTCTCCAGTTTTGAGCCTTGCCTTATCTACAATTTGCTGAAATTCTCTCATTCTTATGCAAATACCGCAGTCAGTTCCACCTCTGCAAGAAATGTGGGAAGCCTGGGTGTAGCCTGACAGCTGGTATTTCTAACCTTGGGTCATGTGGGGCTTCTCACAGCAAGGAAATGGCAGTGGTAAATGCACCATTGTCAGGATACTACTACTCTCAATATTAGTGGCACCACTGAGAAATCTGTAGACTGCCCTTATGGGCTGGATGATTCTGGCAGTTATATTAAAAATATTGGGAGGACCAGTCTGATGGATTGCAATGAAGAATTGTGCCAGTTTGTGAATCAGCCAGTCAGATCTCTACAGACTGCTGTTGAAGCTGCTGGAATATGGGTTTCTGTAAGTGTAGCATTCTCGACCACCTTAGTGCAATTTACAGGTTATTATTTTCAGATCACAGTAAATGAGAAAATCAGATGCCCTCTGTTTCTGCCAAAAGGAAATGAAATGAGTAAATCAGCAGAAATATCCCTATGTGCACAGTTCTTGCTGCCATTTCTGGCTGTGATGAGGAAATGTGTACTATAAACAACCTGCTCTCCATGCCATTAGGAAAGAGAGAAATACTGCTTAAAGAGGGGGGCAATATTGAAAATGGAAACCATCTCTCAGACAGTTGACTTGATTAGTGGCTCAGTCGCTTCCTGGGTAGAAGGTCATGATAGGACTCAAGGACATAAATCAAGTTTCTGAGTTATATTCAATATAGTAGTGCCATTCTTCAAATCAAATGGGTTGGTAAACAGCTCTTGTATCCATCTCTGGCCAATATATTTTATACAGCTACATTTTATTTTTAAAAATATAGATATTAGTTTTTCACCAAATTATTATTTCAAGAAATTGTATTAGCATTTATGAAAGTGACCAGGTGCCTTGGCTGGCATATGTTCTATGTGTTTCCAACCTAGGGATTCTCTCTTCTGTTCACATCTCCAGGCTCCATTCCCCACAGCTGTAAGCCCTCACACTTCACTTACACTACACTGAAGCTACCGCTCTCTGGCTCCCTGCCCAGCTTCAGGTCCTCCACCAAGTGCTCAGTCCCCAACAGTTTTCTCTCCATAAGACCTTAGGCCCCTGCACCTAAGATTACTTCCTTGCTTCCATTTTCCTTGGCCCATTCAGTTTCTTGGCCTGCACCTTCCAAGATTCCCACTATTAATGCTCCCAGTCTAACTTGTGCATTCAGATCTTACATTTTCTTGAGGTTTTCCATTTTGTGAAAATACAAATAGGGCCTTTCCTATACCATTTATTATATATCTGTCAGCTCCCCCATTGTTTGTCTCCTCTCTAAACAACTTAGTACTAATTTTAAACCTGATTTCCAAATAAATTTTGCAACTCAAGTAAACCTATGGTAATTAGTATGCTTTTCTAATGCTAGATTAGCTAGATTAATGAGTATGTTCCTTCATCATAGTGTCAAACATTTTTCTAAGCTGCTTCTAAAGGCAATAGTGTCTCGAAAATGGTTGAAGTTCTTTATTTTCTATAAAAAAAATCTTGTGTTTTAATCAAGTTTCAAAATACGGAAAATATTTTAAGGAATATTGTATGAAGGTGTAGCCACTAGAGAATCTTGATTGACTTATTGTGCCTGCGATTTCTTAGAGAATCAGTATAACAGAAACTCATTTTTATGTTTTTCATAAATCCAGTGATTTCATATAATCTATCATCCACATTGAGTACAAATTTTCGGTTTTAATTGTGTAAGCAGCCATTTCAGAGGAACATGAGACAGTAACCAGTGCAAATGGTGCCCCAATTTGGTAAAATCTACAATTGACTGCCAATTTATTGCTAAGCTCCCCTCTGTTACAAAACAGTTTTTCTCTAAGGGCAGGAGTTTTCTGTGAAACATTGTAGAATTGATGTAAGACGTTCTACTCTTTATTCTCTTGCTCTGCTACTCTTTCTTCAAGACCCTGTTCAGGGGCATCTAGCTGAAGGATGTACTCATCATGAAGTCTGGTCTACACAACACTGTTCAATGCAGAGGCGCTGTTTGAATTCCCCAAAATAATTTGCACAACTGGAGCCAATGTCGTGTTCCTCTTTTCAACCGAAATGGCTAGTCAGAGTTTGAGCCCCTATGGATATTTCAGTTGGGGGTTAAAAAAAAGATGGTGTGTTATTTTTTTATTTACATTCCTGTTTATTTACTAGAAATATATAATATACAAGTCCTTCTCTGACACAGGAGGAACTCTTAAAGAAAAAGTTTAGCATATGGCCCCAAGCCTTATTAGACAATATCAGACTCTCTAGCTTTTTAGCAGGGTCATATGCTGAGTTTGCAGGTTGATGCTTGGCTAGGCTTTCTTGCTTTTTACTTGTCTCTGTCAGTTTCTGTTCTCTAATCCCTCATGCACAAATACTTTACCCAAAACAATATTCAGC